AAAAAGTATTTTTTTTCTTTTTTTACTATTATTATTATTATTATTATTTTCGGGTGAAGAAGCCCCTTTTGAAAATTAATTGCAACCGCAATCGCGACAGTAATCGCGCCCAAAGCCTCCCCGCAGTAGCGCGTGTAATGCCAGCTTAACGCGTTTGCGGAGACATAATCCCCAGCATAGGATGGCGAATCCGCTGTAGAACTTTTTAATTAAGCCAATTAATCCTCTTCTTCTTCTTCCTCTACCACTGCTTCTCTTTCTCCTCTCACTGAGAGTTTCCTTTTCGTCATTGAATTTTCACTTTTATTGGAATCAAAAATAACAGAAGGTTTAACTTCATTTACGCTTCAAATAAAATGTCATTTCCTCTTTTCACAGAGAGAGAGAGAGAGAGAGAGAGAGAGAGAGAGAGAATTTCCGGGTTATTCCATTTTTTTTTTATTTTTTTTTTTATTGGGATTTAATTTTTTATTTGTAATATTTTTTTTTTTGTAATTAATTTATTAACCGAAATCTAAAATCTATTTCACTCTACTATGTTAAATTTTTGACATAACCTCAAAGTATTCATAGAAAAACGAAAAATATAGCCTTGGGGTTAAAGAGTATTTTTTTGTTTTTTTGGGGGGCTTTTTGAAACCGAATTCTATGTCACTTTTACCCCATCATGTCAAATTTTTTGACATAACCTCAAAAAAATTTTGCCAGGAATACAAAAGAAAATAAAATATAATTTAACATGTACATTTTTATATTCATTGTGACGACTTTTTTGAGGTTATGACAAAAAACCTTAGCCTCAAGCCAGAATTACATTTTTTTTATACAGCTAAGAAAATATTTTTTTAAGGTTATGTCAAAATCCTAAAGTAATGGGGTAAAATTGACAAAATAACAATTTGAGGTTATGACAAAAAACTTTAGCCTCAAGCCAGAATTACATTTTTTTTATACAGCTAAGAAAATATTTTTTGGAGGTTATGTCAAAACCCTAAAGTGATGGGGTAACATTGACAAAATAACAATTTACTATTTATTATAGGCAATAGTGTTGAAAATATATTGTCAAAATATAATTGGACGGTTTAATAATAATAATAATAATAACAACAACAATACTCATAATAATAAAAATAATGTTAAAAATAATAATAATAAAAATTTTAATAATTAATGATAAAAATAATAATAAAAGAGATTAAAGGAGTTAAAAATTTAAGAAAACAAAATATACTATATGTATACATTTATATGCGACAAGAAAGGTGGTGTTTGGACGAGCCTTGCAAGCTTTGCCACTAAACCCATTAATTACCAATGTTTTTCCCCACTGAAATCCCTGTTACATTCCTGCCATAATTCACTGTCGTTTTTGCCCTATTCTTGCAGAGCTGTACCCAGAGAAATAGCCTCGGCTTGAATCACAAGATTTCTCCTATCCACACACTAAACAAACGTGTATGTGTGTGTATGTTTGTGTCTGTGTTCACTTTGACAAATTCAATTTTACTCGCCTTGCATTATATCCTTCTTCTTTCATTCTTACTTGTATTTGTCGACAATTAGAGTTAGGCAAAAAAAAAAAAAAATTAAGGTAATTAATTTAGAAAAATTTTATTTAACAAATAGAAATTGCTACTATTTTTTAAAAAAGTCGGTAATGTCAATTTCTATTTATTTTTTTTTTTAATTCGAATTCAAAATAAATAATTGTGGCACTTTTTTTTAGACTTAATGGAAGTAAATTGTACAAAAATTACAATAATACGATTTATATTTTTTAAGAAACGTAACTAAATGTAAAACTCCAACCTTCGATCGTCGAAAATGGAGAAAAGTTTAGGTATTTTTTTTTTTTTTTATTATCGAAATAGTGGTTTGGTAAAAACAATTTTTCATAAGTGGCACAAATTTTGAAAACAATTTTTCAAGCGAAATTCTTTTTTACCGGTCGAAAACAAACTTTTTTTCAATGTCGGTAATGTCAATTCCTACCTAATTCTTTTTTATTCAAATTCAAAATAAATACTTGTGGCACTTTTCTTAGATTCAATAGAAATAAATGACACAAAAATTACAATAATTCGATTTATATTTTTCGAGAAACGTAACTTAATGTCAAATTCTAACCTTCAATTGTCTAAAATGGAGAAAAGATTCGGTATTTTTTTTATCGAAATAGCGGCTTGATAAAAACAATTTTTTATAAATGGCACAAATTTTGAAAACAATTCTTTAGTCGAAAATCTTTTTTACCCATCGAAAACAATGTTTTGCTTTGTTCATTGTCGATAATGTCAATTCCTCTATATTTTTTAATTCAATTTCGAAATAAATAGTTGTCGTCAATATTATAAACGCCAAAAATTGAGAGAGAAATACAACAAAAATTACCACTATTTTGAAAATGTCGGTAATGTCAATTCCTACATAATTTTTTTTATTCAAATTCGAAATAAGCAATTGTGGCACTTTTCTTAAATTCAATAGAAATAAATGACACAAAAATTACAATAATTCGATTTATATTTTTCGAGAAACGTAACTTAATGTCAAATTCTAACCTTCAATTGTCTAAAATGGAGAAAAGATTCGGTATTTTTTTTATCGAAATAGCGGTTTGATAAAAACATTTTTTTATACGTGACACAAATTTTAAAAACAATTCTTTAGTCGAAAATCTTTTTTACCCATCGAAAACAATGTTTTGATTTGTTCATTGTCGGTAATGTCAATTCCTACCTATTTTTTAATTAAAATTCAAATTAAATAGTTGTAAATATCATCAGCGCCAAAAATTGAAAGAAGAATATACCAAAAATTACCTCTACTTTGAAAATGTCGGTAATGTCAATTCCTACATAATTTTTTTAATTCAAATTCAAAATAAATAATTGTGGCACTTTTCTTAGACTCACTTGAACTAAATGACACAAAAATTACAATAATAAAATTTATATTTTTCAAGAAACTTTGTAAAATATTGCAAAAATTATTGTTCCAACCCTAAAAAATGTCGATAATGTCAATTCCTCTCTATTTTTGAATTCAATTTCGATATAAATAATTGTTGTCAATATTACCAACGCCAAAAATTGAGAGAGAATTACAACAAAAATTACCACTACTTTGAAAATGTCGGTAATGTCACTTCCTACATAATTTTTTTAATTCAAATTCAAAATAAACAATTGTGGCACTTTTCTTAGACTTACTTGAAGTAAATGACACAAAAATTACAATAATACAATTTATATTTTTCGATAAATTTTGTGAAATATTTCAAAAAATTATTGTTTCAACCCTAAAAAAAGTGTTGGTTGCAAATTGTATCTATCTTTCTTTCTTCTTATAAAAATGACAATTACTTTGAAGAAAGTGCTTTTCCTAGTGGCTTCCATTCTTGTTATTTCCGACAGTTTGTAAGAGGTATTTGCCTGGGGATAGAAATTTCAGCGGGATTCAAACTCTTGGGATTTGTCGCATGTGAATCTTAGCAGAAGGTACATCGGATAATGGAGGGAAAAGGGAAAAGCGAAAGAGAGAGGGGGAGGGGAGGGGGTGATAGGTAAAGTGAGTGAGTAGTTCTCAAGTAAACACTAAAAAGAAATGTTTTCTCAATGGCGATTCGGTACCTTAAAAGTCCGAAAGGCTCTTCCTCTTTTATCAGACTTTGAAACGATGGATTCACATCGTAAACCTTCCTCCAGTCGAACTAATGCCGCATTAATTATTTAAGCCATCTCACTCTATGTGAAAAACGACCTCGTCGCACCCCTCCCACTTAAACCCCCTCGAGGTCTCATCCCCCCCTTTTAGCAATACCAGAGAGAGAGAGAGAGACAGAGAGATGGGGTTAAATCAATAAGAATCGTCTCCTATTTCGTGCAGAGAAATACTTTTCAATTTAAAAAGCAACACTCGATTTTTCAATGCCCCAAACTGTTTTTCCTCTGTACATTCTGTTGAAATTTCCTTCTATTCTTTTCGGATAAATTGATTCTTTAATGAAATTAAAAAAGAAAAGAAAAAAAAAATTCGTAAACAAGGAAAAGAAACGAATTTCTCTAGTATTCTTTGTTTTTTAGTTTAAAAAAAAAAAAAAAAAAAAAAAATGCTTTTTTGATGAAAAAAAAACTAGACAGGAGAGAAAATATGTAAATCTGGATTATTTTTTAAAGAGTTTGAAAAAAAATTGCGTTGGGTTAAGAAGTGAGATTTTTCTCATTTTCCAAGATAAGGAGTTTGGCCTGTGGATTTAGGATCGTTTGCGGAAAGCTGGGGATGATTTAGGACATTTTGGGGTGTCAGGTGGTTTCGACAAACGAGGCTAAGTCAAGGCATTAAATCGCTTTTATAGTTTGAAAGCACTTACGCCAGTTTAGAGAGAGAGAAAGAGAGAGAGAGAGATTCGAAATACAGATTAGCTATTCGCATTACTTAAACAAATTAAACATATACATATGTATATATATACCTTTATTTTACAGTAGAAACAACTTTTAATCGTATTACATTAAAAAACTTTCTAATTTTTTTCACGAAATTTATTTCAAAAGTTAATAAAAAAAAAATTAAATATTTAAAATTAAAAATAATTTTTTTTTTATTTATAATACTTAAACTATGTTTAAAAAAAAAATATTTCAACTACAAAAATCAGTTGAAAATACAAATCAGTAAAATATGTGAAAAAGAATTGAAAAATAAAAATTTTAAATATGTGAAAGAGACAGATTTTAAAATCTTGACGAGTAAGTGAAGTGAAAAGAGGAAAAAAGTAAATCGAATATTTATGTAGTGTACAATAGTTTTAGAAAAAGAAAAAAAAATGCGTATGAAAACAAACCAAATTTTCTATAGTCGATAGGAAAAAAAAAAAAAAACTCCATTGAGGAATGGTTGAAATAAAAATGTCTGGAAGCTTTTATTTTTTTATTTTTTTTTTTTGCAAAAATATGTCATTTTAAAATTTGTTTGGTTTTCTTTTTATGTTTCAGCTGTCAGCAAACGTAGATGGAATTTATACAGAACATGGTCATACTGCTGGCTCTTTCACAAAATTGGCGAGTGATCGACTTTTTGTTGGTGGCGGTGCTGATGCTCGATCTTTGACAGGAGCCAAAGGGATTAATAATTTTGTTGGATGCCTTCGAAAAGTAAGTTTAATTCTTACTGTTTTTTTTTATTAAAAAAAAGTTAAATATTAAAAAAAAGATGTCGAATTTAATTTAAAGAAAAATAATGAATTTTAACTTTATCTCTGATTTTAACCCGTTTAACCCTAAATTGGGATTTTAAAACCCTCATTTTAATACAAAAACTAAGTTTATTAACTATGATTTGAACAATAACCATTAAACGAACCCTAAATTTAACCCTAATTTTAACCCTAATGATAATAGTGATATTAACCCCAACACTTTAGAGTTTTGTAACCCTGAAAACTAAATCTAACTTTAAACCTAATCCTAAGGATAATTTTGACACTAACCCTTACCAAAACCCTAAGTTTAACCCTGATTTTAACCCCAATGACAACCACGCCCTTAACCCTGGGTTTTGAATTTTTGTAACCATAAAAGTTAAAATTTTAAACCTAATCCTAAGGATAATTTTGACACTAACCCTTACCGAAACCCTAACTTTAACTCTGATTTTAACCCCCATGATAACCCTGATTTTAACCCTGACGAATATGTAACCCTGACGCAAAAGAATACTCTAAAGTTAATTCTAACTATAATTTAAACACCGACTTTAAAAAAAAACCCTAACTTTAACTCTGATTTTAACCCTAATGAGAACCCTGCCCTTAAACCATACGATTTTGTAACCCCGACACTATCCTTGACTCTAAACATAATACTAACTAGAACTTAAACTCTAACTTTTAAAACAACGCTAACTTTAACTTTCATTTTAACCCTAACCCTTACCCTATTTCTATAACCCTAACCCTATTTTTATAACCCTAATCTAACCCTAATTTCTAATCGTATATTTAATTCTAACTATAACTCAAAGTCTAACGTAAAAAAAAACCCTAACCTTAAATCAAATTCTAATCCTTATAATAACCCTTAACTTAACCCTGAAAATTTTGTAATCCTGATTTTAACCCTAACTTTAAATTTAATTCTTATCACAACTTGAATATTAACTCTTAAACGAACCCAAACTTTAACCCTTATGATAACACTGGCATTAACCCTAACCCCTTAGGGTTTTTTTGTAACCCCTGACGCTTACAAAAGACTTTAAACCAAATCCTAACTGTAACGCAGTGACTAAATTTTAATCAAAGTTTAACTCTGATTTAACCCTATACCTACTGATAACCCTAATTTTAACCCCGACGATTTTGTAACCCTAACACCCTAACCCTGACTTTAAATCTAATGTTAATCATAACTCTAACGTAACCATTTCTTTAACCTTACTCTCTAATTCTAATATTAACCCTAATCTTTAACCCCTTAGGATTTTTTAACCCCGCAGCATAAACATTAATTCTTAAGCAAATCTTAACATTAAATCTAATTAATGTTAATGTTAATATTTTTAATTAGTTTTTAATATTTATTGTCATTTATTAATAATTACTAATTACTAATAATATTTATTAATATTAATTAATAAAATCAAATGAAATACTAAAATTATTAATACCAAAATAATTTTAAAAAATAAAAAAAAAAAGTTGTAATTATTAATTTAGAAAAAAAAATCTTGCACTCCATCCTAATTAATTGTACAAAAATTCATATACATACATATTTAATAAAATCTAGAATTTCATTGTAGTAAATTCATTTAAATATAAATGAATCAAAAAGATAATTAATCGAGACCATTATTATTATTATTATCTATCTATTTAAATGAGCTGTAATAAATTGTAAAAATTTAGCGGAGAGATGAAAAAAAAAATTTATAAACCTTGTTTTTTTTGGAGGGGGGGGGGGGGGGTGAAAGAGGTTTTTAACGAGTTGTCTCAGGGAAAAAAGTTTTTTTTTTTTTTTAAATTACCATAATTTGACACGATTTATTGAGATTTTTTTTTAATTCAAAAAAAAATATATATATAAAGACGATAAAAAAAAAAAAAGGGGGTGGATAATTAATTGGGCCACAAAATGTCGGCATGCCCATTAGTATTCGAAATGAGAGTGCCTGTGGTCACGCTAAAGTTGCCCTCTTAAAAAGGCAATTACGAATGGCCGTTATGCATTTCTAATTTGCCAACCTTATATACTATCCCTTCTCCCCTTCTCTTTTTTTTACCACCCCCCCCACCTTTCTCTCTTTCTCTCTTTCCTAAAGTTACCTGCCCTGAGGTGCTTCTCAAACCAACACACACCACACTATTTTCATCCTTTTGCGACCTCCATTGCGCGGTTTCACGTTCTTTTGCCAACGATTTTGAGATATCAGATTTTATTACAGAGTTCTCATTAAAAGATAAAAGGGGGGTTCTTTACCCTTTTGTCGTCCATAACACAATATGAAACGCTCCTTTTGTCTGGAAAATATTTTCAATTCTACGACACTTCATTAGATATTATCAAAAAAAAAATAAATAAATAAATAATAATAAAAATAATTTTACTTTAACCTCGTGTGCACCGAGAAAAAAAATATTCTTTATTTAAGAGGATTTTTCTTATTTTAAGAGGATTATTCTCTATTTAAGAGGATTATTCTCTATTTAAGAGGATTCCTCTTATTTTAAGAGGATTCCTCCTATTTTAAGAGGATTCCTCTTATTTTAAAAGGATTATTCTCTATTTAAGAGGATTCCTCTTATTTGAAGAGGATTATTCTCTATTTAAAAGAAGTGTTCTCTATTTAAGAATATTCCTCTTAAAATAAGTGGAAAATAATCTCCTATGAAAAAATAACATTCTTGATTCAAGAGGATTTCGGCAAAAGGAATTTTCGTCTATTTTTTTAAGAATATTTTTTTTTTTGGTGTGTATTGAAAAAAAAATTATTTGATTCAAGTAATTTAATTTCTTTAAAAAATATTTACTTGTTTTAAATATATTTTTATTTGAATTCAAAAAATATGTATTTTTTAAATAATTTGAATTATTTGAATCAAATAAATCGTATTTGCGATTCAAGTAAAATTATTAACTAAATCTAATAAATGAACACAAATAATAAATTATTTAAAACAATTTAATTTATTTTACACAAATATTTAATTTTTTTTTTTTGATACACAAATAAAAATTATTTAACACAAATTTATTTTATTGATTCTAATACACTAAATTCGTTAATATCAATAATGCATTATTTAATATTAATACATTATTTTATGAAAATAAATAAAAAATATTTCGATAAAATAATTATATTTATTTAAAACAAAAATAATGAATTACTTAAAACTATTCATTTATTTCACTCAAATACATGTTTTTTTTATACACTGAAAGTAAAATTTATTTGATTCAAATAATAGATTATTTGACTATTATCAAATAAATATTTACTCGAAACAAATAATTTTTATTTAAATTAAATAAACTGTATTTTAACCAATAATTTCTGTATCTAAAACAAATACCATTGATACAAATAATAATTATTTGATACAAATAAATATTTAGTTGATACGAATAAATATTTAGTTGATACAAATAAATATTTAGTTGATACAAATAAATATTTAGTTGATACAAATAAATATTTAATTGATACAAATAAATATTTAGTTGATACAAATAAATATGTATTTAATAATAATCAAGTAACCAATTATTTGAATCAAATAAATTTTTTTTCAACGCACAAATAAAAATTATTTGCCACAATAAATTTATTTCATTGATTCAATTAAACAAAATTATTTAATAACAAATCATGCATTATTTAATAAATTTATTTTGACTAATTATTGTTAGCAAAAGAAAAAAATTTAAATTAAAAAATTGTCAACTTTATATAAAAAAAAAAAAATTCAACATTCACATTATAATGTAGAAGCGAGATAGGGGAATTTAATTAAAAATTTTACAATAGCGAAACTGTAACCAAATGTAAAATTATTTTTTGCTATTCTTTGTTTTGTAAATTATTCCTGATATAGTAAACAATGGACAAAAAAAATGCAAGAACTTTTTTTTTTTTTTTTTTGTTTAGCGAATCGGAGGAAAATGAGGATTCGGAATAATTATTAATTAATGTGAATTCAGCAAGAATTTTTTTTTTTTTTTTTATTTAACGAAGGCGTCGGAGCGAAACAGGAGAGAAAATAGCGTGTATAAATAATTAAAATGTTTTTGTGTCTTGAGCTGTTTTTTTTTCTTCAACATGAAAAACTTGTTGAGTTTTAAAACGAATTTTTTTCTCTCTGTGTATTGTTGTGCTATAACGAAATTGGGAGATTTTATAATCTTTAGGGTTTTGTAAAATGAATGATAAATGTAATTCTAAACCATAACTTAAATCCAATTCTAAAACATAACCTAAAACAAAACCTAAAGCTAAACCTAAATCTAAAACAAAATTAAAACTAACCCTAACTTTAAACTTAATTCCGATAAAAATTCTAACACTAATTCTTATCAAAACCCTAAGGTTAACACTTATTTTAACACCAATGTTAACCCTTTTCTTAATCCTAACTCTTTGCAGTTTTGTAACCCTAAAAGCTAACTTTAACTTTAAACCTAACCCTGAAGATAATTCTGAAACTTATCCTTTACTAAAACTCTAACTTTAACCCCGATTTTAACCCTAATTATAACCCTGCCCTTAATCCTACGCTTTGAATTTTTGTAACCCTAAAAGTTAAAGATTTAAATCTAATCCTAACGATAATTTTGACACTAATCTTTACCGAAACCCTGATTTTAACACCAATGTTAACCCTTTTCTTAACCCTAACCCTTTGCAGTTTTGTAACCCTAAAAGCTCTAACTTTTAATTAACTTTAATCCTAACGTTGTTTTTAATAATGTTAGGGTTATTATTAGGGTTTGAATTAGGATTAAAATTAGGGTTGGATTATAGATTTGGATTAGTTATAAATCCCAAATATTAATCCTAGGGTTAGGGGTATTATTATTATTACTATTATTACTATTATTATTATTATTATTATTATTATTATTATTATTATTAATATTATTGTTATTATTATTATTACCAATTTATTATTTGGTTTTGTATCAGAATTAAAATAAAGGTTTCCTTTAGGGTTTGTGTTTGGATTTGAGTTAGGGATAATGTTAGGGTTATTATTAGGTTTTGAATTAGAATTAAAACTAGAGCAGGGTTATAGATTACGGTTAGTTGTAAGTTCCAAATATTAATCCTATGGGGTTACGGATAATATTAGAGTTATTTTTAGGGTTATTATTCGGTTTTGTATTAGAATTAAAATTAAGGTTACGTTTAAGGTTTGTGTTACGATCAGGGTTAGGGATAATGTTAAGGTTATTGTTAGGGTTATAGGATTTTATAACCCTAACTATAACCCTTCTGTTAGTAGGGTTATAATCCTAACAATATCCCTAACCTAAACCCCTAATAATAATCTAAAATTTTTCCTAATCTTTGGGTTAATATTTGAGTTTTACAATCCTAACCTCAAATCAATATTTTTATTACTATGACAACAATAAAAAAAAAAATATCGAAAAAACAGGAATCCTTAGAAACTAAATTTAATATAAGAAATGTTTTTTTTTCCGACAAAAGAAGGCGGATTTTTTTTTTTTTAGATTCTTTGTGTCTATGTGGGAAGATGTGGCACTTGTCAGCTTCGATTTTGTTTTGTAACCTCTGTGTGTGTGTGTATGTGCAAGTGTGTTGGCTTTAGGAAACGAGCGTGACTGCAGAGCAGCTATACAGTGCACTTTAGTGAAGAAGCACACGTGTTTGTGCCTGCGCATTGAGATATATATATATATATATATATATATATATATATATATATACATAGAGTATGTATTGTTGAGAGTGCGTGGTTACGTGAAGAGTAATTAGCCAAGGCTAAAGAGAATTCCAACAAGCGAAAACGCATCCAAGCCACTCACTCTCGTGTCGTCCTTCCTCCTCCTCCTCCTCCTCCTCCTCTTACCTTTCCTTTTCCACAGACAATGAGGATATAATACCATAAACTAGCATACACACATATAATCACTCTTAATTCAGTCACTAATTTTCAAAAAAAAAAAAATAATAATAATAATAAGTATCCACACATTATTTTTATCACATTGTTTCTCTTTTCTTTTTACTTTTTTCTATACAAATGTTTAAAGCTACTTTACTTGATTGTATTTTTTCAAGTTCATTTTCATCTCCCTCTCTAATTCTGCTTTCCATTTTTGTTGTTCTATGAAGTTAAAACAAATTTTTAAATTTTATTTATCGTACATAGTAATTAATTCGGGGTTAAGGGTTTGAATAGGAGTTAAAATTAAATTATTATTTATTTTTGGTGTAACTACTAATTTAATTAATTGGGGTTAAGGGTTAAAATTAGGGTTAAGAATTAAAATTAGGGTAAAGGGTTAAAATTAGGGTTAAGGGTTAAAATTAGGGTTAAGGGTTAAAATTGGTGTTATTGTTAAGGTTAGTGTTATAATTAGGGTTTAGGTCCTAGTTAGGGTTTTACTTGGGGTTATAGCTGGGGTTAGGGTTCTAGTTAGGGTTAGGGTTCTAGTTTGGGTTAGGTTATAGTAAGTGTTACAGTTAGGGTTAAGGTTCTAATTATGGTTAGGTTATAGTTAGAGATACAGTTAGGTTTATGGTTCTAGTTAGGTTAAGGGTTATGGTTAGGTTACAGTTAGGGTTATAGATAGGGTAATGGTTCTAGTTAGAGTTAAGGTTCTAGTTAGGGTCAGAGTTATGGTTAAGGTATTAGTTAGGGTCACAGTTAGGGTTAGGGCTATAGTTACGGTTAAGGTTCTAGTTAGGTTTAGAGTTAGGGTTACAGTTAGTGTTTGTTTCTAGTTATGGTTAAGGTTCTAGTAAGGGTTAGGTTGTAGTTACGGTTACGGTTAAGGTTAAGTTAGGGTTATAGTTAAGGTTATAGTTAGAGTTACGGTTACGGTAACTGTTACGATTTGGGTTAAGTTGGGGTTATAGTTACAGTTAAGGTTCTAGTTAGGGTTAGTGTTAAAGTTAGGGTTACAGTTAGGGTTACAGTTAGGGTTGGGGTTATTGTTACGGTTAAGGTTCTAGTTAGGTTTAGAGTTAGGGTTACAGTTATTGTTTGTTTCTAGTTATGGTTAAGGTTTTAGTAAGGGTTAGGTTATAGTTACGGTTACAGTTAGGGTTACGGTTAGGGTTAAGTTGGGGTTGTAGTTACAGTTAAGATTCTAGTTAGGGTTAGGGTTAATGTTAGGGTTACAGTTAGGGTTGGGGCTATAGTTAGGGTTAGGGTTAAAGTTAGGGTTACAATTAGGGTTATGGTTCTAGTTAGGGTTTGGATTGCAGTTAGGGTTATGGTTCTAGTTAGCGTTAGATTTAGGGTTAATTTTGTTTTGGGTTACCTTAAAAAAATGTGAAAATAATATAAGAGTAATCGTTAATATTAAAAATTTCTGTTAGTTTCATTAGTAGAACTGGGGTTAAAGTATAAATCATTTTAAAGTTTCTTTTTTTGAAAAAATCTAAAAATACTATTTCTGTTTTTTGAAAAAAAAAAAAAAAATAGGTGGAATTTGCGGCAGAGGGTGTGAAAATGGAATTAATCGAAGCGGCTAAAAGTGGCGCAGCAGGAGCAGCAGCTTGGGGTAAAATAGACTTTCATTGTCGAGAGCCGAAGGCTTCGGATCCTGTCACATTTACCACTCGAGATTCGCATCTGGTGAGTATTGCACTCTATATTTCGTTTCTCGACTATTTTCCTTTGTCTTTCTTTTTCTTCTAACCCATTGTTTTACCCCCGCCCCCTCTCAACCCTTTAGCCACTACCTGCAAAAATCTATACAAAATAATAAAAAAAAAAAAATTAATACTTTTTTTTTATTTTTGTATGTATTTTTAAGGTATATATTATATATTATATATTATATATTATATATTATATATTATATATTATATATTATATATTATATATATTATATATTATAATAATTAGAAAATTTTTAAAAACCCATACTTCTTTATTGAAATGACAAAAAAATATATGGATTTGCGATAAAATGTTTTAAATGCCTTGCGGGCATAGAGAAAGATTCACCACATTTTTTTCTTTTCTTCGTTTCGTATTTTTTTTTTTTTTTTTTTAAATCTCAACGAGTGTCTTTTTCATATCGACTCGAGAATATTCGTGTCTCTCTGATTCAATATTCTCGCGTGCATCACTAAAACAAATTTAAAAGGCACTTGAGGGAGAGACTATTTCTTACTTTTATCGAACCTTCAACGATATCTATAATATTGTACATCATAAATCTATGAATATATATATATATACACGTTCACGTATCATTTTTTTCAAAAATAATTTCTAATATTTCAAGTTTTTAAAAATAGAAAAAAAATTCTAAATTCTTTTTTTTATTTTTTAATTAATTTTTTTATTTATTTTATTTTTTATTATGATTCTTTATTTATAATTTACTTTCTAAATATTTAAAACAAAATAACATCATTGAAAGATTCAATTTTAAAATATTTCTTTTATATTAAGAAACTATTTTTCGTTTTCATTTTAACATTTAAATCGAAAAACCAGAACTTTCTAAACTTTTCTTTAAATAAATCAAAGAAAATAAAAAAATATATTTTAAAAATTACAGAAAAAGTTAATGAAATGATATCCCCTGGTAAAACCACTGCTATACTCATTATATATTTTTTTTATATTATGTATTTTATAAATATATATCTTTACATATATTTATATTGTATATAATATATTATATTCTCTACTGTTAATGGGTGAAAAACAAAATTAACCCAAAAAAAAAATAAAATCTAATTTAATTTTTGTGAATACATATGGAAATATTATGTAAATGGGTTAGTATAATAGTCCAAAAAAAAAAAAAAAAAGAAAACTGAAGTCGTAAATGAAGTGTGTTCGTAATTGCGAATTCACGTGCTATCGTGGCATCGTGTATGACCTGACTCTTTTACTTGCTTTATTTGTCTACAAACTAAATTGCACGTTGATTATGTACCTTGCTTTGAGAAATATATATTTTGAAAGAAATAAAAGAAAATAATTATGTCCTGTCACTTTTTACACAATAGACACTAACACACACACACACACACACACACACACACATACACATACACACTCTCTTCCCTTTTATAATATTTAATCTTTCGTATCATTGATCACATTTACACTAGACACGATCTACCAAAATTTTGTATTTACAATGAACTTTAAATTGAAATAACTCTTAATAATATTAGCAATAAAACATAATTATTTTTATTTCAAAAATACACTTTAAAAAATTTGCCGTCTATATTTAAGGACAATTAAGTAGGGTTTAATAAGGATTTACCTAGGATTTAACTAGGTTTATACTAAAGTTTAACTAGGGTAGAACTAGGGTTTGAGTAGGGCTTAACTAGGGTTTGAGTAAGGATTAACTAGTGTTTGAGTAGGGTTTAACTAGGATTTGAGTAGGGTTTAAGTAGGGTTACTACAGTTTAACTAGGATTTAAATAGGGTTTAAGTAAGATGTAACTAGGGTTTAAGTAGGGTTTAACTAGAGTTACTAGGGTTTAACTAGGGTTTCAGTAGGGTTTAAGTAGGGTTGCTAGAGTTCAACCAGGATTTAAGTAGGGTTTGAGTAGTGTGTAACAAGCATTTGAGTAAGGTAACTAGGGTTTACTAGGGTTTAGCTAGGGTTTAAGTAGGGCTTAACTAGGGTTTGAGTAAGGTTTAACTAGTGTTTGAGTAGGGTTTAACTAGGATATGAGTAGGGTTTAAGTAGGGTTACTACGGTGTAAGTACGATTTAAGTAGGGTTTGAGTAAGATGTAACTAGGGTTTAAGAAGGGTTTAACTAGAGTTACTAGGCTTTAAGTAGGGTTTGAATAGGGTAACTAGGGTTTAACTAGGGTTTGAGTAGGGTTGCTAGAGTTTAAATAGGATTTAAGTAGGGTTTGAGTAGCGTAACTAGGGTTTAGCTAGGGTTTGAGTAGGGTTTGAGTAGGGTAACTAGGGTTTAACTAGGGTTTGAGTAAGGTTTAACTAGTGTTTGAGTAGGGTTTAACTAGGATTTGAGTAAGGTTTAACTAGGGTTTAAGTAGAGTTACTACAGTTTAAATAGGGTTTGAGTAAGATGTAACTAGGGTTTAAGTACAGTTTAACTAGAGTTACTAGAGTTTAACTAGGGTTTGAGTAGGGAAACTAGGGTTTAACTGGGGTTTGAGTAGGGTTTAACTAGGATTTGTGTAGGGTTTAGGTAGGGTTACTTGAGTTTAACTAGGATTTAAGTAGGGTTTGAGTAAGGTGTAACTAGGGTTTAACTAGGATTTGAGTAGGGTTTAACTAGGGTTTAAGTAGAGTTACTACAGTTTAACTAGGATTTAAGTAGGGTTTGAGTAAGATGTAACTAGGGTTTAAGTAGAGTTTAACTAGAGTTACTAGGGTTTAACTATGGTTTGAGTAGGGTAACTAGGGTTTACTAGGGTTTAACTGGGGTTTGAGTAGGGTTTAACTAGGATTTGTGTAGGGTTTAGGTAGGGTTACTTGAGTTTAACTAGGATTTAAGTAGGGTTTGAGTAAGGTGTAACTAGGGTTTAATTAGGGTTTGAGTAGGGTTTAACTAGGATTTGAGTTGGGTTTTAATATGGTTTAAGTATGCTTACTAGAGTTTAACTAGGATTTAAGTAGGGTTTAAGTAGGGTTAAATAGGGTTAGTAGGGTTTAACTAGAGTTACTAGGGTTTAACTAGGGTTTGAGTAGGGTAACTAGGGTTTAACTTGGATATGAATAGGGTTTAACTAGAATTTACCAAAAGTTTAACTAGATTTAGACTGAACTTTAACTAGTGTTTACCTAAGGTTAGAGTAGAGTTTAATTAGGTTTTAAATAGGGTTTCAAAATTTCAGATACAGTTATTAAATTTTTCTTCATTAAAAACTAAATCTTCGAATTTAACTCTAATTTCAAGAATTTTGGAATAAAGGTGTTTCTTCCTGGCAAGTGACCTTAAATATCAACGTAAATCGAAAGGTTACACATTCATCGAAGCTAGATTCTGATTTTAATACAAATATACACAAACACTCATACATTCACATGCAAAACTTTATGCAGCAATGACTACAATTTCATCGTTATCGTAGTTCAAATAGAAAGAGGGTCGGTACGTCGTCTGAATGATCTAATTTAATTTCCATCCATATATATATATATATATAAAGCTCGCAGTGTGCATTTCAAATTCCAAGCAAACGATACGCGAGACGTAAATTTTCAAGCAAACGACATTATGTAAACTCAATTTTACCCCAGGATGCATTATTAACACAAGTTCTAATTATCTTCTCAATAGGAGAGTAATTTCAGTTGTGAAAATTATTATTATTATGCAAATTTACAAATTTTACCCTATATATATATATATATATATATATATATATATATATATATATAAAATTTCTCAACAATTCACTATGACGTTTAATTTTATCGTTGGGTATTTTATTAAATTTCTCTGAAAATAGAAATTTTTTTTCTTGGTTTAAAATTTTCGTGACTTTTCACATTAGAAATTATAAATAAAATTATAGTTTGGACTACAAGTGAAAAATTCAGTTAACAGTCAGATAGTAGACGGCTCACGAATCGTTGAGCACTTATTGTTAGTTGAGATCAGTGAAAATAGTCAATAACTAGTCAGGCAAGTGAAAAAGTCGTTCAGTGATGTTTTACAGTAGAAAAGTTGACATTACGTCAGACATAAAAAAGTGTTAAGCATTTATTTTTAATTTAAATTTACTATTTATTTACATTTACTATTTACTTATATTACTATTATTTTTTATTATTTATTTAAATCTATATTTATTTGTATTTTATATTTTTTTTTATTTCACTTTGCGTGCAAGAAGCCTTTTTAAAGTTTATTTATTTATTTTTTTTTTTACACGGAAAAAAATCTTTATCTATAACAGCGATATGTTGCTTTAGAATAGCGAAATGTTTCTCTAGAATAGTGAAAACTTTCGTTGTTCCAGTAAAAGTTATCGCTATTTTGGGTGAAAATTTTTTTTTCCGCGTGTATAGCAAACAAAAATTCAGTAATTTTGCAAAAAAAAAAATATATATATATTATTTTACAGCAAATAAGGGAAATTTAGTATAATTTTCAAAAAATAATATATTTTTTTGCATCAAGTAATGAAAATAAAAAAATAAAAAAACGGGAAAAATTTATTAGACAAAAGTGAACGTCTCACACGATAAGAAAAAACTTCATTGTCTGTGTAATTCGAAACATTATTTCGACGAACCACTTTCTCTCACTCTATTTTTAAGGTGATATCCAAAAGTACTTGAAAATGTATTCTTAACCGTCTTTAGAAAAGGTTAACAGTATATAGTGGGAGTCAAGGCTCAATATATATATATATATATATATATATATATATATATATATATATATATATATATACGTACACACATCGATGTTTTCTCTCTCTCTCGTACACACGATAATTTCGCTTTATTGCCCGTAAGCGTTCTTCGCATCGCTTCCTCTCAACACTCATATATAGTCATTCCCAACAACTGTACACATTTGATAACAGCCTCGTTTCCTGTACCAGAGATTTCGAGTAACTCAAAATCTATTGGTAATTCACTGTCAATGAAAATTGTTTTTATTTT